AAACTAAGTACGAATAAAAATGTACGCTGAAAGTAAAACAGGATCTATGTCAACCTGATCTACAGGCTGAAAATGAAAAGCATGGTTAGCTTGAATATATCTTCTAAATTTCCTCTTAAAATCAAATGAGAATGATACTAAAAAACCATTAGCATGTTTGGCAACCTTCCCATTGATACATTGCTAAGTAAAACACCCACTTCTCTGAAACTTTAAAAAAAATCGTAATGGAATAGGAGGTTTAAAAGTTATGCAAGGAGTGAGTTTATTAAGCAATTCCATCTATTGTTCAAAATGCAGAAAAAGTAGTACTAAAATAACGTTTGTAAAATGTCAACTACTTATAAGTAGGCAGATTGGCAAACAAAATAATTTCATGTTCAGAACCTTGATTCTTAGGGATTCAGGGTATATTTTTGTGAAGATTCAAAATCTTCGTCCTTATTGGGACTATTCAGTATTTTGGTCAAAAATGGATGTACTAAATAGTGAATGGAATATCTTGATTAGTTGACCTGGTCAAACCACTGGTCTCACTGATTTTCCATTGCTTATTGTTTTAATCATTTAATTGTGTTTCTGCATCAGTACATGGACTCGCACAAATTCGTAGTTTGTTGTCAACATATTACAGAACACTTCACAAGAGGAAATCATGAAAATAAATGCATTTAGGGATGGAATACCGTTACAAATGAATCATGTTATGTACTGCGGAATGTTTCCATGAATAAACCTGTTATTATCAATATGTCATTAGGACGTCCAGTGGTCAACGAGTGGAATGGAATCCAGTGATTTGTGAACCCTAACTTCCTCATATAACACCACTGTCTCTCATAGTCACCTCTATCAATGGTGAAATACACAATAAATTAGTTAGAGGTTAACTGCTTACAGATATCGAAAATAATAGACACTGTGCACTCACTTTGTCGGTGGAAGTTAAATTCTAGTCATGGAAAGTGAACTATAAACCTAGATATTAATCCTAAATATACATCACAGTAAAGGAAATATCTAAAAGACAAGAAGCCACTTTTAAACTAATGTTTTCGTTCATAACACCTTTGTATTATTGATTTTCTCTTATTTCGCTTTCCCAAAACATTCAAAAATAACTCTTCCCCTTAGCTTGTGAACTCAATGGGCGCTTCTCTTTTGTTTTTCTCTAAGTTTCTTTAGTGAAGTTACCATTTGATGTGGTTGGATTCTCTGAGCTGGATAGCCAATTTGCGAAGCTTTCATTGCCTTACTAAGCAAAATCTTCAGCGCATACTTCAATTTGTTGAAGTGAGTTTTTCGATTTCTCCACGAGTTTATTAGTCATCTCGCCTGGTGACTTGAACTTGAAGGTCATTCGTTGTTTTTGTGTGTTTTCACACCTTATAGGCAGCTACTTGTATTGGAACTGATTGTTTCTTTGACTTCAACTTTGAACCTTTTTGTGTGAAATTTCTTTCTTATCGGTTAGTGAATTTTGACTATCTCGATGTATCTATTGATTGATGATTCACTGGAATACCAGGTAGGCTTCTAAAAATTCTCTAGCATTCTTGTTGTTTCCTCTGTCTAATATTTGAACTTTGGTTGTCCCAGTCGAACTGATGTCCATTTGAGATTCCGTATAAGACAGTATTCAACACCCTGAAATACTTACTTTTATATATGATTCTCAAAAACTAAAGATAAGGTAGCCTGACCTCGTCAAACTAACAAAGAAGAGTGTCTAAAACCCTCTCAAGAACTACCGCAGAATCATTCTGGTGTCCATGCCAAGGAAAATATCAGGTCGCATCACTTTGGAGATACTAAACTATGTACTTGATGCAGAACTTCGCCCAGAACAAGCTGGACTGAGGAAAGTATATCATCTCCTGATTGATCTACGACTCCATGCACCACCATCAAATAGAGTATAAAATGACAGTCAAACCTCTGCCTCATCTCCACCATCTTCGAAAATGCCCTCAATAGTGCTGACTCTGTAGTGGTTTGTAAACTGGTTCAACACTACGGAATGCAGTCCTCCAAAGCTTCATCAGTCTCACTTAACAGCCAAATGACTACGCAACATGTCAAGTGGTCCACAGTGCGAAATTCAGTGAAGCGTCCTAAGTAAAGACATGAGTAAGTCGAAAAAGTTCACCTATTAGTGCCGACAATATGCCCGATTGTAGTTGGCTGGATTAGGCGTCAGACTGTAACGAGCCAGAAAACAGGAATACTTCGGACCTGAAAGAAGAATGTGGAAGATTTGGACTTCGGGGATGATTTATGTCTAACGTCATTTAAATTCTAAGAGTTATAGGAGACAACCAACCACCTGTCAGAAGAGTTAGGCAGTTAAAATAAGACTTCAAGTGAACATAGAGAAGGCGGTAGTGATAAAGATAAGCAAACAACAGAAGCAACAACCAGCATAAATCATTGTAAAAAGGGGGAATTTGATAGAAGTCACATCTTTTGTCCTTATCTTGGCAGTATCGTCTCAACTACGGGTGTCAGCACAGATCCCAATATCAAAAGCACTCTAAAAAACAGTATGGAAATTTTCTGCACTCACTCAGCGTAAAGAGCATAATTTGGATTTTAAAAATCAATGCTGAGTCAGTTACGTATGGGTAAGAAACTTGTCATATATGTCATCAAAAGCAGGTTACTACAAACTTTTATCAGCAACTGCCTTCTAGACTCAATAAGGAGGATCAGGTACGCCCACTGACTAGCAGCAGTTGGCGGCAAAAACCTCTAGCAACAAACCAGTCAAAAATCTGTTACCCCCCAAAAATATGCAGAAGAAAGTGGAGATGGATCGAACACACGCTAAGGAGACCGTTGAATGACATTGCACGCGAAGCATAATCTCTAGTGGGAAACGACGAGTCAGGGGTGAATGTCAGGGTGACTTTGAGGAGACTGTATGATGTGGGGATAAGAGCCTGTTGACATAAGTATAAAACCTGGGCACTGTGGTAGAGTATAACTCTATTATGGATAAGATTTTATTTTGATAAATCACACAGTGCTGTACAGCAACATTAACAGATGACGTTTCGAGCACAAACTATTACTGCTCATAATCATATGAAGTTACTTACTTACACAACTTTTTCCTTCATTTATATACATGTGTGGAGTCGATTAGATAATGGAATCAAAATCAATATGGGATCATGTACATTCAGAAATAATAATATATGAGTGTTATGGATCAAATACAATCAGATGGGAAATAAGACGAGTGTTTTTTTATGGTCATAATAAGTTACTTGTTGGAATGTTGTGATGTGTTTGAATTGAAATAGAATTTTGAGATTATTTATTATCCTCCTCTGATTTAACTGACTGGCGATATTAATATCTTCCATACTTCTGGTATTTGCATTAAGTCATTTCTGTTGCATGTGTTGTATTGGGTGTAGACTCAATTAACCAGGTAGTATTCAGCAATCAATCTCTCTCTCCACCTACATTGATTACTTCTTAGAATCTTAACCCTCTCCCACCCTATCGTGTGGTTGTGTGCTAATGCATTCAGTGTAATCGGTGAGCTTTTTTCTAAATGACTCGTCTTCTCGGGGTTAGCCATTCTTTCCTTAACTAAATTCTTATGTCCCGACAATCTGATTACCACAGATCTAACCGTTTGACCTATGTAGTTGACTTAACTCGCAGTAATTGCAGGGCATTTTGAAAACTTTATTATTTTGTTCAATTGGGTTCACCGGGTCTTTTAGCCTACAGAGCTTGTCTCTGATTGAGTTTGTAAGTTTCAATACCACTCTAATTCCTGCTTTATTAAGAATCATATTTAGGGTCTCAGATGCCCCTCTTTATATGGTATAACAGTGGATGACTTATATTCGCTTTTATTTATGTTATCATTACTAGTTTCACAATTATTTTTATTTTGCTTTTGGCCTTTTTCGTTCTACCTAATGAATTTTATAGGATGGTTTATTATTTAACACCAACGCCTCTTCTATCTGTTTTATTTCATCATTTAGGTCTTCTTTGTGTTACTTAGTGCTACTACTCGGTTTGTTAGACGCCTAACTAAGCCTGCCTTCACAGTTAACGGATGAGATGAATTCATGTCTAAATATCTATTAGAATGAGTTGATTTTCTATAAACACTAATGTGTAGTTTGCCTTCTTCTATTCGTTTTATTTTACAATCTAACATAACTAATCCTCCTTGTTCATTTTCCGTTTCAAATGTAAATTTTACTCTCTTTACCGGTGAGTTTATATGTGCCAAGATGCTAGAGATATGTTCTATTTTTAACACTGGGAAAGTGTCATCCACATATCTCCACCATATTTTTGAAATAGGACTAAATGTAATCAGAGCAATATTTTCCCAGCTGTCCATAAGTATATCCGCCACACTCATTTTATTTCCCATCTAATTTTTTATTGATCAATAACACGCGTATTATTCTTTCTGAATGTACATTATCACACATTGACTTTTATTCAAATGTCTAATCATCAATTTCACTCATGTATATAAATGAAGAAAAAAGTTGTGTGAGTAGTGACTTGATATGATTATAAGTGTCAGTTGCTCGTGCTTGAAACGTGGTCATCAGTTAATATTGCTGTGTAACACTATGTGACTTATCAAAATAAAATCTTATCCATAGTAGAATAAGAACCTGTTGTCAGTCGTGGGACCAGCCGTTGATGGTTGCAGAGAATAGGATGAAATGGGGATGTACTGCTAAAGCCGCCTTAGGTAATTAATGACTTATAAATCAATTAATTCAATGTCTGTTTATTTCCATGTAATTCAGTGAAGAATTAATCACATAGAAAATGTAACGCACCGAATTATTACGTCTGCATTGCTTAAAAATAAACAGAATATTGATTAGTCTCATATTTGGAGTAAAGATGACAGAATTCTATTAGGCATGCAGAGTTCTTCACACCACTAACACAAAGGATAATAGAAACAATTCATAGAAAAAAGAAATAAAGACGATGAATACCTTACTTACATTATTCGCCAGGGAATTCCCATTCATCACACTTGAGTTGTTTGTTTTAAATGCAGAAGGGGTTTGTCTACTTTCAGCAACTGGTGATGATAAATGCTCAGAATCTGAAGGATGCGTATTATATACTGTATGGTTCAAATCTAATCTGTTCAGACCACACTGTGTTGAATAGTGATCAGCAACATTATTATTATTATTCATACTATTGGGGTTATTATTACTCACCTTATCGGTGTAAAATATACCTGCGCTATCTTGACTACTAGTATTAATATTGTTTGTATTACTGTTATGCTGATTGATTTCCTCTGAATCGAATCCCTGCTGTTTAGGTGAATATAAATTATTTTTAATTAAATGAGATCTATTTGTAGGCTTTTTAAGCGAGTTGAACTGTTCACCTGAATCTGTCAGTGTGCCACTGTAATCATGTTTATTTGAAGCTAATGGAGTACCTTTCGCTGGATTGTTAGGAGTCATAGTATTGTGTGGATCATCATTGCTAATATTGTTAAGCTTTGATTGATTCTTTCGGACAACATTCGAAATTCCATCGAATTTGCCGCCTTGACATCTTAATTTATTTCGACTATTACTGTTACTACTACTATTAATATTACCAGTAGTAGGTGTTGTTGTTGTTGTTGTGGGGTTAATATTTTGTGCATTCTGATGATAACAAAAACTAGGAGGTGTTGGATAAAGTTTCCTCAACTGACTCCCACTTCCTAAGAGTGGTGATGATAACTCGCTTGACGAATTCAATGATTGAGAATGATATCGAAAAGGTACTGGACCAAAAAGTGGTGGTAACGAGTGATTCATTTCAAAACCAAATTTTCTGTTGTAACAACAATTATTGTTATTATTATAGAACAGTAAGGATGACGAAGGTACCATATGATCGGTGGATCGAATCAACGGCAATGGACTAAAATGTGATGCAACGGGGGAATAAGTTACCGGTGAGATATAACTAATTTCATCGGCTAAACCTTCACTTGAGCACTGGTTATGCGATAGGTCGAGTTCATTGTAGCGTAATTCAAAAAGATTTTTTGGCATATTCAACGATTCATTTTCATCATTCAGCATGTCAGTTTTATGAATAATATTTTGATGGAGGAAAGGTTGAGGATTTGTATATTTATTCATGGATTGATATGATTCATTTGAAAGCTTCTTAAAATCTTTGTCGTGATATGCTGGTGATATTTGTGGTAAAAACTGTTTCCCATTGATTTGATCATTTCGATTCATTAGCGGACATGGACTGTCAACAACTGACATATTGGCTACATAGAAATTCTCTTGTAGCTTACAATTAGCTATTGGTGATGCTGCAGGTGAATTCATTATGGATTTATTCAGTGGGGTTAAACTTTGATTGAAAGTTGTTTGAAAATCTAAAAAGGGAAATAAACACAGTAGACCGTTATGAAATGACCAACCGAAAAACTTTTATAGTTGGATAACTGAGTTGAAGAAGAGCTCTCACATGATATAACCGTTAATACACTTGATATTTGTGCTAACGAGTTTTCTACCTGGTCGATTCGGGAGGCTATTGTTCTAACTACTATTAACAACAACAGAACGATACGATAACACCGAAAATGTGAGACAAGAAGACAAGAAAAGAAGACTGACGGTTGGTGTGGAGAGCTTTTACTGTCTCCACTCAACAGTGAAAGTGATTGACAGAGCTTGGATATATGTATATATGCTAGCAGACTTCTTTTTGTCTGGTATAGAGAGTAGTACTCTCATACCTGCCGCAAAGGGGCTTAACATCTACAAAAGACACATCGATGACAGGCTCATTATCTGCGACGAGGACTGCAACTTGAATGACATTCTGAAGGTATTCAGTGACAGTCATCCTTCTATCCGGTTCACCTTGGGAAAAGAAACTGAAGGAAAAATATCTTTCTTTGATGTGCTACTTACAAGAATATGTGACGGGTCTTTGAAAAGATCTGTTTATAGTTGTCCCTCCACAAAAAGTAAAAGGAATCTAATCCGTTCAGATTAATTTTCAAGTATTGGTTTTTGTAGGGATTTTGTTTCATTGTATGGAGGATTTCATCATGAGCTGACATCAGTTCGAAAACCATTGGAAAACCAACTGGGAGTACTGGACAGCTGTTTCGTCCTAGTTTGGGACTCTTCATCAGTACGCATCCACCGGGGTCTGAACAAAGGACCTTCTGGTTGCAAGGCCAGCGAGCTCGTAGACCAATGAGCCACAGTCTGCATCAAAGATGGGACTAGACACATTACACTAGTTACTGACCAGTGTCAAATCAAAAATATTCAATACAGTCCTACAGGAGGTCTACCAATAACCCGAATAGCTCAGTGTTAACGTCTCTGACTGCAGGACTGGGCGATGCGGGTTCGAATCTCAGAAGGGACATGAGTTCCTTCAAAATTGCTGATACGCCTTGCCGACTGGTGAGTGCCAGCTAGTACAAAACCGAGGTCAAGCAAGGCTTCCTGTGGCCGACTGCCTCCAACCATCTAACACCAACAATTCACAGTGCACCGTAATGGAGAGCCACCTGGCATGATGGCCACATTGTAAGCTTGACTGATAGGATTAAGTCTGCACGGAAGATAAGGCTAGACACATGACAGAATAGAATTTCAGAATGACTACCCATCAGGCCCTACATCATCAGGACCACAGTGATGAAAAAAATACTGTTATTAACAATATTAATGCTGTTTTAAACTACATTGAGTCAATGGTTTCGACAGATTAGAGATTTCAAAAACAAATAAAAGCTATATAATATTCGTCAATATAACACCAAACTGGATATTAGAATAATTAAGGGAGTTAAGATAGAATTTACGAATTTATAGGTTCAAGAGGGAGCTATGTTAGCCAGTAAGCTACAGCTCGGGAACATCACACCTACCATTATGTTTACATTAGGGTGTTGTTGAAACTATCAACATTTCTATATGAGATCACCCCTTCCAAACAGGCCACAATGCTAGCAGGCATTGAAGAGTCTTTCTCCATCACCTATCGAGTATTGTTTCCAATAAATTACTAAAGACTTAAAGATACTGAAGACTGTAAATGCTGGAGGTCACTACGATTCGGAGCTCCGTGTGGCAGATACTTCCATGGCCTATTGTCGAGCCTTTAAATTCATAATTTCAGCATAATGAGTACGCTTAATTTATCTGACATTCAGTTCATTGATATATATATATATATATATATATATTGATGCATATTATCTCTCTCTTACTGATGGTTTTTAAATGCAATCGCCTATCGATACTACTGATTGATTTAGTTTAATTTAAAACAGCACCCAAGTTTATTAATAACAAATTATTCTTTATTAATTACTGTTATATGAATGTAGAACGTCGTCAGTTTATTAAAACGACTTTCATGAGTGATTGTCCCAGATAAACACAGTCAAACGTCGAATTAGATGAAGCGTAGATGGTGTCATCATTATTAGGTGGCAAGTTATGAAAGGACTTTATAGTATATATGTGTAGAGCTATCACTAATAAACACGACGGCAGTAGTTTTTAATTTCACTATAGTCACTATACTATTTGTCAAAATTTCCATCAAATTAAATTACAACTGTCTACAGTATCTTATAAACTGGGTAACGATGAAGCTTTCCTAAGTTCTAATGCCATGAACTATTACTGTTATGTAAACAGTTAGCAAGTATATTTTCTATTCTCATTTATTTCCTAATCAACACAATTTAATCTTCATCAACTTTTGCGTTTCGGTTTTACTATTCCCTGAAAATAAGTAGGCGAAATAAAAACGCCAATTTTGACGAGTGTCATGTAATGAAAATACACTTAAACATATCATGACTTTATTGATGTAAGGATAAAACACGGGCATTGTGGTAGAGTATAACTCCTATAAGATTCATTTGGAAGATCAAAAAATTTCAAAGGATAAGTTAAAAGAATAACGTAACTAATAGTGATAACATAAGAAAGAAAGGATATAAGGCATCTACATGAGGAAGCACATAAGGAGGCGCCATCTGTGACACTACATAGGATTCTCAATAAAGCCGGAATCAGAGTGGCATTCAAACCAACAAACTCACTCAGAGACAATCTCCGTAGGCTAAAAGATCCGGTGGACCTAATTATGCAAAATAATATAATTTACAAAATGCCTTGCAATGACTGTGAGTTGAGTGAACTACATAGTTCAAACTAGTAGATCGTGAGGGGGTAGTGAGATTATCAGGATATAAGAATTTAGCTAAGGAAAGAATTGTTGACCCAGAGAAGGTGAGTAATTTAGAAAAAAGCTCACCGATTACACTGAATGCATTAACACACAACCACACAATAGGGTGGGAAAGGGTTAAGATTCTAAGAAGTAATCAATGTAGGTGGAGAGAGAGATTGATTGCTGAATACTACCTGGTTCATTGAGTCTACACCCAATACAACACATGCAACAGAAATGACTTAATGCAAATACCAGAAGTATGGAAGATATTAATATCGCCAGTCAGTTAAATCAGAGGAGGATAATAAATAATCTCAAAATTCTATTTCAATTCAAGCACATCGCAACATTCAAACAAGTTACTTATTATGACTAAAACAACATTCGTCTTATATCCCATCTGATTGTATTTGTTTGATAATACTGGTATTATTTCGAATGCACTTTATGTCATATTGGTTTGATTGGAATATCTAGTCATGAATCTTTACTCATATATATATAAATGAAGGGAGAAAGTTGTTTGAGTAATGCATTGATATGATTATGAGTAGGAACGATAAACTGTGGTAGAAACGTGGTCATCATTAGATATTACACTACAACACTGTGTGATTTTATCGAAATAAAACTTCATCATTAATGGACTTATATATTGGAACTGATATAATTTATATAACCGTTAAATTGAAAATATGAAAATAAAATCATCGATTAAACATCCGTTTTTCGCAAAATGATGTCGTATACACATCCTGGTGGTCAAATAAAAGACGGTGAATATTCTGCGTGTCTATTAAATGCATATATGTACTGAATGTTTACACCAAAGGTTTCGGTAATATTCAGAACAAGATAAAAATTTCATTTTCAAGTATCGGTTTGTAGGGATTTTGTTTGATTGGTAAGGGGATTTCATCATGATCTGACATCGAGCTTGCCTTGTAACCAGAAGGTCCTGGGTCCGAACCTCTGTATGTGCATATAGATGAAGAGCCCCCAAAAACTAGGACGAAACAGTTGGAATTGCAGTTGAAAATCTGCATCTTATTTTAATTTTCATGCTGAGTACTTTTGACCTTCACACAGACTTGAGAGTAATGAAAGCTCCTCTTGCTTATCCAAACCTTGCTTTGATATCCTCGTCACTTCCGTCCACCTGCAGTTGAAACAATACTTCCCAGGTAGGTGGCTAGGTGAAGAAGGTCGCTTATTTCAGATTCCTCCTATATATCCTGATTGGTGTCTGTTGCTATTGCTGTTGGCCAGGAATCTTCAACACCTCTGTTTTCTCTATGTTCACCTGAAGTCCTATCTTCTCTGGTTGCTTCTTCTGCCAACTTGTTGCTTTTCACTTGCATATCTTCCAGTTTGTGGGAAATCAGACGTATATCATCGTCGGCGAAGTCCAGATCCTCCAAGTTCTTGTTTTGTGTGAGTCCATTTTATGCCTGTTTCCTCGCTGCCTGCCGCTGTCTGTCGCATTATTCAATCTAATGCAATCAGGAAAATCATTGGTGATAGTAGGCAGCCAGCTTGTCTTACTCCCGTCTTCACTTCTTCGAGGCATTTCGTAAGTTCCTCGTTGTGGAATCTATCACATTACCTACATAAAGTATAACTCTTCCTTTAGACAATTCATTCTGGTTATAAGTAGTGATTTAGATTCGTTTAATTAGTCTCCTACATCACCATTATCATCATCATAATCATCATAATCATCATCATCATTATTGATTTATGTGAAGGTGAATCACCAAATAAAACAATCCACAGAATATTAGAAATAGATAAGCCAAAGAAGTGGATGTTTTTTTACTTCGTATTATTCACTTTATTCAAGTGAATCAATGATTTTACTAGAACAGTTGTCATTTATATTTCAAAACCTCTCTGCTTCTCTCTCTCACTCTTTACACTTATTTCACTTGATATCTGTGTAATGTGATGCTGACGTCTTGAATACACAATGAAAGAAAGGTATGATGATAATTTTTCGATGATTCTTATGAGATTGTTATTTTATAGGTTTACTTCTGCATATATTTATTTTAGTGTGAATATATATTATAAAATTATGTGGTTCTTTTTATACTACTGGGCATTACAGAAACCAAAATCAAAAAAACCATGTTTATATATATATATATATATATA